TAAGGTGCCCAAGGTTTAGCTTGTGGTCTGGCTTTTCTAGAAACACTGGGTGATGCTTCTTTTCTACCAAAAGCAAATGCCCATCAAGTGAGTCCACCTGACTTTGGGTCTGAGCACTAGACCAAGCGCTCAGTGTCCTGGAACTCCTGTGAGAAGCTCTCAGTGTCCTGAAAACTTAGGCCCAGGTTATGATGGCTCTATTGTCAGGATAGAAGACTCCAGGCCTGCGTCAGGAACAGGGAGATAGGAGAAGGGCTCAGTCTGGCCATTTCCCATTGTTTAAAACTATGACAATCCCTTCCTAACTGGCTGTTATCCCCCAGAACAGTTATGAGCTCTCACTGGAGCTGGGCTCAGCAGACCAACCATGTCTGAACTGCCCTGGGCTGCCAGAGAGTGAGCCCCACACAAGCCTCCTGGTTTGAATTTCAGGCCAGGTCTTTGCAGGGAGGGTGAGGAAGCTTCCTAATGGTGGGCTCCAGTGTGAAGAGGCAAGGCCTGTGCTGGCACCCTGCTCTCTAGACAAAGAGAGTTTAGTGCTTTGCTCACCACCCAGAAAGCTATGTGGATTTCCCAGTCAGGTCAGTTCATGAGAAGATTGGTCTCTCACCCCATCAAGCCAAATTCAGAGAATGTTCACTCTAACCTCCCTTCTCACCTGCCTGCCTCATCTCTCCTGTGAGAACTGTTGCACCAAATATCCCCAAACTCTCCTAAAAGCTGTGTCTGAAAGACCCCAAAGGGGGATGTCTTAAATTTGCCATTTTGACTTCCATATTTCGGTAGAAATAATCAATACAAATGAAACTTACAGCAATAGAAAGCATACTCAGTAAAATGTGGTATGATAACAAGTCTGATTAAGGAATCAAATCTTTATTGTAACATTCACATGGAAAAAAATCTTGCTCTCAGAAAAACAATTTTGGCTAAACAAAATTGAAAGTGAAAAAAAATTGGACTTGGTGGTGACTGGACATTTGTTGGTGGGTGTGGGCTGAAATACACTGTTAATAAGGTGAGAGACTTTATATCTGAAATCTTTGTAGTCTTATAATCTAAAATTACCTTAATCTATAAAATTGGAATTGATTAACTGAATTATAGAAAACCAATTAAGGGGTTAAATTGGCTTAATGGGATTCACTCCCATTAAAAGAATACTTTTGTCCCAAACTTATCAATATTAGTTTTATGTACAAGTTGAGCATCAAAATATTCTGAGGACCCAATTTGTTCTCAGACAATTGGGGACATCTTCAGAGTTTGGAGTAGTTCAGAAAGGGATGTTGCTAGCGCTCAGTCCTCCACCCATCCAAGCCAGCAGTGCCCCCGATCTTGGCTCAAGGGCTGTGTGCTCAGACCATGCTGGTAAGTTCAGGGACTGCTCTTATCTCTCTAGGTAGGGGGCAGTTCTTGCTTGACCAGGGATAGTGTCTCCTCTTGAAAGGAGAAAAGTCTGAAGGAGGAAGTCCCTAGGTCCGGGTTTTCTCTATATTCCCAGAGACCATGTCTTGGCTAGGGTGGAAGAAGAGTTGGTGGGTGTGATGAGGAGACTAAAGGGGAGCTTGAAGATGTTAGCTTAGGAACCAGATTTGAGGTTGGCTTAAGGAAGCTGTGAAACTAGACACAAAGCCCATCCTTTTTTCTCCTAGATAGCCTGGGGACAGGGCTTCAGAGGTGGGGAACTTGGGACTTGTGTGGGGATAGAGGTTGGGAGGTCCTTAGGAGGAATCTATATGTGGCAACCATATATTATGGCATCCGGTCAAGATGGTCCCATTGGTGAAGGTGGGTATGGCGACTAATGATAATTCATTCCACATATGCTTTTTTTTTTTTTTAATAGAGGCATGTTTTATTTGTTTGTTTGTTTGTTTGTTTGTTTATACATGCACTGGGTACAGTCAGAAGTGCGGGAGGGTGAGAGAATTCACCAGAGCCAGAGCGGGGAGCAGAGCAGGCAGAAGGACCGAAGTACACTGCTGAGGGGAGCAGCAAGCGGCAGGAGAGTTCTGCGCGCCATGCGGGACCCTCCTCCGGTGGCTGGGGAGCAGCCGGGGATCGAACCGGCGCCGCAGAGGCCGCGGGCAGTTTCGCAACCCAGCTCTCAACCGCTGCGCCCCCGGGGAGGCCCCCACATGTGCTTTTGAGGATTACCTTGCACCCAAAGTTCTGGTACTGGGTGATAGATACAGCAGTGAGTAAGATGGGCAAGGTCGTGTCCTTATGAGCCATACATTCCAGTGGGAGGGGAGCGAAGATAAAGTCAGCAAATAAATGAGCATGATAATATCAGATAATGCAATTAACTTAATGATAAATTTAGCGCTGCACTGTGGGGTGTCCGCAGCCTCTGCAGCGCGGGTTCGATCCCAGCCAGCAGGAGAGAAACCCACATGGCGCAGCAGACCTCTCCTGTCTCACCCACTGCTCCCCTCAGCAGTGTGTTTTGTCAGTCTGCCTGTTCTGTTCCCTGCTCTGTCTCTGGTGAATCCTCTCACTCTCCCGTGCATCTGGCCTGTGCCCCGGTTCTTGTATAAATAAATAGATCTTAAAAAAAAAAAAAACAAAAAAAAACCAAAAAAAACCCGATAAACTCATTTTGAAAAGATCACCCTGACAATATTAGAATCTAGGGAGAAAACAGGAAGCAAGAAGTGTTGTGTCATGCCGGGGGTGGGGGAGGGGTCAGGGGGTTGGGAGTAATGAGTGGATCTGGAATATATTAGAGCTAATAGATTGGATATGAGGGCCTGAGGGAAAGAAGGAACAGGGATTTAGACTTCAATAACTAGGTGGATAATGGTGCTATTTATTAAGATGAAAGAACAAACAGGTATTGGTGTAGGCATGTGAGCATGAAGCGTTCTGTTTCAGCCATGCTCTATTTGGGGTGCCTGTCAGGCATCCAGGTGGAATCTGAAGCTCAGTGTTGTGGTCACATAGGGGTTTTAGTTAGGGACTCATTGGTATTCCAGGGACTGGATGAGTTGCCTAGACTCTAGATCTTAGAGCCCTGGTTCTCAACTAACCGTGATTTTGCAGCTCCAGGTCTGGAAGAAGTTACTATAGTATTGCTGGTAGTGGTGGGGTTGCTGCTGGCCTCTGCTGGGTGGAGGGCTGGATCTACTAAATACCCTACAATGCACAGGGCAGGCCCCCACAGCAAAGAGTGAACTGTAAGTATGCTAACCCTCACCTAGAGTGAGATATAGAGAAGAGATGACTATGACCCAGGGCATTCTTATGTGAAGAGGTAGACCCTCCCACAAAGAAGAAAGGGCTGAGAAGTGGAGGGTGAGGGAGGGGGAGAAGGGAGGGGAGCTGTCCTGGAGGCCAGCAGAAGCTGAGACATGGAGGAAGAAGGAGAGAAGGAGGAGTCCTCCATTGTATTAAATGCTAAGAGGCCCCATCATTTGAACAGAGACAGGACTAATGAGATAGGCAAAATGGGTACTATTGATGGCTTTGATTTGATTTGTTGGGGTTTCTGTGATTTGTTGGGGTTTGAAGGTCCCAGAGGAAAGGTTGTATCAAAGCCAATACTGACCATTTCCTCCCTGCTCAGAATGTTTTACTTGTGTAATTTCATTAATCCACACACAATAGGTAGGTACTCTTATCCTCATTTTATAGGAGTGGCAATACTGTTATCACCTCCTTTTACAGAGGCAGAAAATTGTCTACGGCCATACCACCCTGAACGCGCCCTATCTCGTCTGATCTCGGAAGCTAAGCAGGGTCGGGCCTGGTTAGTACTTGGACGGGAGAAAATTGCTGAGGCACAGAGAGGCTAATTACTCCCTGAGATTAGGCAACCGGGAGTAAGTGGCAGAGCTAGAGTTCAGACCTAGGCAGCTCTGACTTGAGTCCACATTATTGAAGGGGAGACAATGAGTGGACACCACCTTTTTGAGAAGTCTTGCTGTAGAGGGGAACAAAGGCAGGTTCAGAGGGTGCGTGTGGATAGGACTCTTCCATGCGGAGCTTGAAATTGATGGTGATGTTGGGGAGGTGAGAAGCTAAGTCCTTGAGGAAGTGAGAAGGATCTCTGAAGTGGGCCTGAACTGTTTTGAGCATGATTACCCCTGGACTCAACTTCTCCCCTGTCTGATCCCTGCTATCCTTCAGAGGCCTGCTGGCTACCCAGCAGGAAGCTGCAGCATAGGCCCAGCACTTACCCACTGTGTCCCCAGGGCACTGGAGATGGTTGTGGCCAGGAAACAGTGCCAAGTGCAGGCCTGTAGTCAGAAGCCAGAGCCCAGGCTGGCTGGGCAGTTAGAGTGCACTTTCTGTCAGTGCACGTTAGAGATTCTCCACCCAAAGCTGGCTTTCGTGATCCTTAACACAAGCCTACAAAGCCCCCATGAGGGGACTTGGGCAGCCTCCCCAGGGTCTTCACTTATTCTCACTGAGCGGTGGCCGAGCAGTAGTCCTTTGAACTACCCTGGGCTCCCTCCTGCTCCAAGAAATGTTACCTTCATTTTTCCTCCCTTCTCCACCTGTCTAAGCTATTTGCCTAACTTCCTGTCTCAGCTTAACTCATCTCAGGGATCCCTTCTCTGTCCCCCCAACTTGGTGAGGCCTTCTGTTTTTAGCTTCTCTGACATTTGGATGCTGACTCTCTTATTGTCCTTTTCCTACTTGTATGTTTTTGTCCAATGTCTGTTGGATTGTAACCTTTGTGAGGTGGGTCTTATTTACCACAATTATTTCCACTACCTGGCATCTCCTCAGTGCACAGTAATTATTTGCAAATGAATTGGTGGCTATTTCACAGCCTGCTTGGTTCTAATATGACTCAGTTATGTTGTGCTCAATGTTTTATTCTCTATGCACATCTCACTATATGTTTTTGAAGCTTTCCTGCTCACTTATATGACTTTGTCTTTCCTTGAAGGTATTAAAGAGTTTAAATCAATATCTTACTTTGTGCCTATTTATAGAAATCAGAAAGAGATGTTCTAAGCTTGTGCACTGTTGATTTTTCCCCATAGGATGCCTGGTTTGGTTTTGTGTGAGCCAACTGAGCTTTACAACATCTTGAATCAGGTCACAAAACTATCCAGATTAACTGAACCCAACTATCTCTGTTTATTGGGTAAGTATATAAACAATTGGGTAAGTGAACAGTGTCCTTCAGACAAACTTTTGAGGCTAGGAGAACTAAATGAGTTTAGAAAACTGTTAGACTCCTTAGGCATAGTTCAAAACACGGCTACTAACTTTAACATGACTTGGAAATTATCCCAGATCTCATCTAGAAGAGTACTTCCTGGAGGACTCCAGTTCTAAGTCCTCTTGTTACCGTTTTCAAGAAATATTTTAAACATCTAACAAACATGTAGTAACACTAATAAACAACAGTGTCTCTACCACTCAGATTTAACATAATAAATAAAATGTTACCCCAGAAGATGTACTACCTGTTTTTTGTTCCCCATCCTGATTCTATTCCTTGCTTCCCCAAAAATGACTGCTACACTTCTACTATATTTGCAGGCATCCTAAAATAATACATGGTTTAAACATTTACACAAATAGTACCATAATGTACAATCATTCTGCCAGTAGCTTTTTAAAAAAATTTTTTTTAAAGATTTATTTATACAAGAACTGGGCTACAGGCCAGATGCATGGAAGGGTGAGAGGATTCACCAGAGACAGAGCAGGAAACAGAACAGGCAGACTGATGAAATACACTGCTGAGGGGAGCAGCAGGTGAGACAGGAGAGGTCTGCCACATCCACGCCGTGTGGGATTCCGCCCCGCTGGCTGGGATTGAACCCGCGTTGCAGAGGCTGCAAACAGCTTCACAGTGCGGTGCTCAACCGCCTGCGCCACCAGGGAGGCCCTTTGCGAGTAGCTTTTTTGCTTTGCATTGTATTTTTGAGATTTGCCCTATCATCTGGAAGATCTAGTGTATTTGTCTTAACTGCTGGTTGAAATGTGTATCCATTTCTCATTGATTGTAGTGTGGTGCACTACACTTGTGTTGTGGTGGTATTATGAACAGTGCTGCAGCAAACAAGATTGTGCGTCTTTCCTTATTCATGTGTGAGAGTTTCTTCAGGATATATTCCTAGAAATTTAATTGCCTAATTACAGATTCAGCTTCTCTATATTATTGTCAAATTGCCCCCAAAGACGTTGTATCAATTGCTCTCTCATCAGCAGTGTAAGAAAGGTACTTTCTGGTTTTGTTAGCCTTTAACAATTGGATTGGTTATAAACTTGTATTATGACTGTCCTCACATTTGAAAATTGTCATGAAATACACACATTTACTATCTTAACTATTTTGAAGTGCACAGTTCGGTGGTATTAAATTAGTTGAAAAGCCTGTCCTTTCTCCCATTGAATGGCTTTAGCACCATTGTCAAATCACTTGACCATTATGTCAGGGTTTATTTCTGGGATTTCTATTCTATCACATTGGTCTGTTTGTCTTTATGCTAGTACCACACTATTTTGATTACTAGAGCTGTGTAGTAAGTTTTGAAGTCAGGAGCTGGGAGTCCTTCAACTTAGTTGTTTGTTTTTTTTTTTCAGAGTTGTTCTTGAGATTTCACATGAATTTTAGGATGTTTTTATTTCTTCAAAAAATGTCATCTAAATTTTGATAGATTTCATGGAATCTGTCGAATGTTTTGGGTAGTATTGACATCGTAACAATATTAAGTTTCCTAGTCCATGAACAGGTAATGTTCCATTTATTTGTCTTTTCAGGAACATTTTTTAGTTTTCATTATATAAGTCTTTCAAATCCTTGGTTTAGTTAATTCCTAAGCATTATTTATTCTCTTTGATGCCATTTAAATTGGTTTTCAATTTCCTTTTCAGAAGATATTTGCTAGTGTGTAGAGCTGCCACTGAACTTACGTGTTGGCTTTGTGTCTTATAGCTCACAATACCATGCTTACTTTCATTTGTTTTTCAATCATACAGACCACTTTTCTGACTTCTTTTGCACAAGATTATATTAAAATTCATTCATGTTGTTGAATGTATCTATTCTGTAGTTTAATTTTTGTTGCTAAGTGGTGTCAAGGATAAACAATGGCAGATAAGAGTTAGTGGTAGGGACGGACTCAATGAGACACTGTTCCTAGGGATGGACTCTAATCAGTGAGACACTGTTCCTACATAGCTACACTCTTTTGCAATGAACAGAGTTCCTGTTGCTCCATATCCTCCTCATTTGGTGTTGTCAGAGTTTTGGGTTTTTGACATTTTAATAGGTATGTAGTGGTATTTCACTGTTGTCTTAATTTGTAATTCCCTAATGACATATGATGTTGAACAACTGTATATATCTTTTTGGCCATCTGGATATTGTTTTTGGTAAGGTGTCTTTTCCTATCTGATGAGGTTTTTATTCCTATCTTTTTCCCATTAAAAAAAATCTGGTTATCTTCTTATTGCTGAATTTTAAGAATTCTGTGTGTGTGTGTGTGTATACACTTATATATGTATATATATTTATATAAAGATGTATTTATTTTATGCATTCAAGACCTGGGGTGCAGGCCAGAGATGCGGGTGGTGAGAGGATTCACCAGAGACTGAGTGGGGAGCAGAACAGGCAGACTGACTGAAATACACTGCTGAGAGGAGCATTGGGTGAGACAGGAGAGGTGTGCTGTGCCATGTGGGTCAGCTACCTGGCCGGGGATCGAACTCATGATGCAGTGGCTTCTACCACCAGGGAGGCCCCTCCTTGTATATTTTGAATAAAAGTTGTTTTAGGACTTTTTATATATAAGTCTTCATCTCTGCTCAATGCTCCTCCCAATTTTGGGAAATACCAACACCCCAGCTTCTGTCCTAGCTGAGACATTAGAACCTTAGCTCCTACTTTCTAGAGTCTGAATTTGGGTCTAAAATTCCTTGGGGGTTTAGTATGAACTCACTCTGCCTCTGATTTACCCCCTCCCTGCTGTTTAGCTCTCAGAGAAAATGACTCCCTAAATCAAAGATACGAAGTCTCACCACCTCTGGGAGGATGTATGGGTATGGGGGCGGGGGAGTCATGTGTGGCAGGGCAGAGTAGTAAAACCACAGACCTTGAAGTTTAAACTGACAGTAATGGTCATCTACCTGACAAACAGATATAGGATGGTGATGTACCTGCTGGAAGTAGTTTGAACATGAGCTCTTTGCAAATACAGTTACTAATTAAATACTCTCCTTTTCAGATGTGCGTTCCAAGTGGGAATATGATGAAAGCCACGTGATTACAGCCCTTAGAGTGAAGAAGGTATGGAGCAGAGTTAGGAACTGGGGCATGCTGGCTACACAGGAGGGTCTAAAGAGTGGGGATTATATTCTAGATCTAGGAGCTGGCACCTATTATTGGATACTGTCGGCAGCAGGGGCAGGACCATCCCTGGACATCCCCCAGGGGTTTCCTGTACTTCACCCCCACTTCCTAAATTATCCCTAATACCGACCTCCCCCCCCGCCCCCATACCACCTTAATCAACAGTGTCTCAAGTAAATATTGCTTTAATTCCTTGACTGATATTCCAGGTATTGTTCCAGACCCTGGACCTACAACAGAATACAAGATGCGTTGGGTTTATTGTCCCTGCACTCCTTAAGCTTCTGTTCTACCCAGAGAAAAGATGATAAGCCATAGAGATAGTTACTGTAACCCAGAGGTGGAAGCCCCTCCCTTTTCTGCCTAGCCTTCTCCTTCCCACCTTCCTTTCCCCAATCCAACTTTTTTTTTTTTTTAAAGATTTATTTATTTATTTAATTTATTTATACAAGCACTGGGTACAGTCAGAAGCGCGGGAGGGTGAGAGAATTCACCAGAGCCAGAGCGGGGAGCAGAGCAGGCAGAAGGACTGAAGTACACTGCTGAGGGGAGCAGCGGGCGGCAGGAGAGGTCTGCGTGCCATGTGGGACCCTCCTCCGGTGGCTGGAGAGCAGCCGGGGATCGAACCGGCGCTGCAGAGGCTGCGGGCAGTTTCACAACCCAGCGCTCAACCGCTGCACCACCGGAGAGGCCCCCCCATTCCAACTTTTTAAGAAGACAGAGCTCTGCAGGTGGTCACCATGTCCCCACCACTGCAGTGTAGGCTCATTCCCCACAACAGTGTGTCTTTTCTTTCAGGTAACTGGCAGGTCTTTATTCAGGTCTGTCTCTGCTCTTGACAGTCCTCAGCACACGCTCCACCCTTGGCTTTCCAGGTTCTCTCTTGCTTCTCTCTCTCTTTGGTTCAGCTTCATTTTCTCCTCCTGCTGCCTAGAGGAAACCATTGATGTGTCCCTATGTCCTTGGTCTCCTTCATATCTATAAGTACACCTTCTTGCTCTGAGATGTCACCCAGGCTCCCAGCTTCAGCAATTAGCTGTCGTGTCAGCCTCCCCACCCCCCCCCAACTCCCTTCCTACTGTGCTGTTAGATCTCTGGCCCTCCCCTGCACACACATCTTCAGGGACCACAAGCCCTGGTTCAAGAGTTCTTTCCAGAATAAGCTTGCTGCCTGACATCCTGCTTTCCTCACCCAATCCAGCATCAAAAACTTTTTTTCTCCTCTGAATTTCAATTTTCTGATTCTATATTTTAGCTCTTAATTTCAATTTTAGGCTTTTCTCTGCTTCTTGTAACCTATTCAGAGATAGTCACTCTGACCTTCATGATATGTGGCCCTTAGTTTCTAACTGTCACCCAACTCTGCATATTTCTTTGATTCTGGCAGCACCCCAGCTCTGGATAGAGACATTTTCTCTGCCTCAGTCCCTGGGAACCCCTCAGCCAGGGTCACACCTATCCCCTCCATTCCCTCCATTCTTGTTTGCCAGCAGATTGCAGGCCTTCAGGCAATCCTAGCCTCAGCAGGGCTCAAAGTCCCCCAACTTGGCATTCATGGCCTTCTGATTCCACATCACTACGTGGCCTTATCTCCAGCATGCTTCACCTCACCTGATGCCTGAATATCACTGCATTTCCTCGGTTTTAAAATACACATATTTAAACATTTTTTGAAGTTGAAGCACAGCTGCAATTGATCTGCACTTTTAATGTGGCCATATCTTTTCCTCCCACCAATGAGTGGTGGATATCTATTGTTTTTCTGTCCAGTACGCCTGTCATTTTTTTTTTTTTTTGAGGGAAACTCCTCCTCTCCCTGCTTAAATCATGGGGCTCTGATGGTGCTCTCTAAAGCAGGGTCCAGTCACTGGTCACAGTGATTGGCCGTGGGCCTAGGATGAAAACTGAGTAAGTCAGAAGTGGAATTAGAGAAGGCAGCTCTTTCTATTCTGGAGGTAGAGTTGGAGGATGGGAGCCTGGCAGTGGTGGTAACCATGACTCAGACCTCAGGAGAATGAGAAGTCAGGGAAAGGCAGAGAGGAGCACCTGAGATGAAGATCTGGGTTGTAGAGCCTGGGTTCAGGTTTTTTAGGAATCACATTGCTTTTGCCTGAAATGGTGTTACAAGACAATAAATCCCACCTTTTATGAACTCTCCTGATTATAACTGGTGGTGCATCTTAACAATCAGTGGCCTCTCAGAATCTAGGAATATAGTCTGTGGGGTCCCCTGAATATGTATTTGTCCACAAGCCTCCCAGATGTTCAGCCTGGTCCCTGGCATCTGATAGGTGCTCGCTGCCCATTTGTTCACTAAATGACTGAAAGCTGTTCCTTCTGCCTGAAACATTCCCCCAAATCTTGCCACCTGGCAAATTTCTATTTGATTTTGCTGTCTCCTCTCAAATGCACCCTGCTCCAGCCATCCAAATCCTCCAGGCCACCTTTTCCCATTCTGAATCTCTGTATTCCAGAATCTCTGTATTCCAGAAGCTAGCATCATGTAGGTCAAAGTAGGTCCTCAATGAAGGCTTGCTTAATGAATGAATGTCCATCTACATCCTTCCCTGCTCTCCCACCTACTCCAGCCTCTCTGTGCTATTTACACCTTTCCTGTGTGCAAGCTCTTCTCCTCACTCAGAACCTCTCTTTCCTCACTATCACCTGTCTAAATCTTGCTCATCCTATGAATGCTGTTCCATAATTCCTTCTGACAAATAAGGTTTCTCCCCGTGGGGTCCCAGAGAACTCTCGTGGCCTGTACTCCCATGGGTCTTGCCTCGCTGCCTTCAGTGGAGTACATGTGCCCTGGTCCTAGTCCTCTGTCGGGGCCTTTGCATCAGCCAGACCAGGTTCAAAGGATAAATCATTCCCAGTCCCTCTGAGTAGAGGGGCTGTGAGGAAGCATTGTGAACAAGGGAAGACTGGCCTCTCATCTACCATCCAGAGGCTCCCCTGAGCTCTGGAACAATACCCTTTGGGATCCTGGGCCATTCTGGCACTGTGAGAGTGGCCCCTTCTCAGAGGAAGGCATCTGTAGTTCCTGCCCTTGTGTTTCTGTCATGGTAACTCACTACTCCCCGACTCTACTCTTCAGACTTCATGACTCTTGTTTGCCTACTTGTTTATATAACCATATGTCTGACCTGCCACGTGCCAAGCACTGTTCCAGAAGCTTGGGATACAAAAAGAACAAAACTCTTGCTCTCCCAGAGTTTATGCTCTGTCTCATTACATCTGCCTGCCATCGCTTCTGCTTATTTAAGCCTTCTGTTTTCTGTCCTCTTTATGGGGGCAACCACTCTCCCCCGAGAGATGTTCAGTTGGCCATGGTTGCTCTGATAACACACTCGTGCCAAGGCGCCTAATACAGTAGTCTGTGGCCGGTCAGTAGACCAGCTGTTCTTTGGCCAGGCACTTGGCCAGTCTTTGGTCCAGTCAGCAGTGGTCAGCTTTTCACAGTAAAGGTTGTGGGAATGGAAGATCCTCAGGATTTAGCAGGCTCTCTGGTCCACTCTCAGTGCTTCCGTGCCTGCAATTGTAGTCAGGAGAATAGGTACGGTTCTACTGGTGGGGAATATTTGCTCAACTGTACCTGCCCACCAACAGACCTTTCTTGTGGTCTCTCTAGAAGGCAAATGAGTATCTTTTCCCGGAGACTCTGGATCTGGAGTGTGTGAAATACTGTGTGGTATATGACAACAATACCACATCCCTGGAGGTAATCTTAAAACAAGATGGAAAGGATGTTGACGAGGACTCTGACGACATTAAAGAAGGTGGGTCTTGACAAGCGCAGTGTGAATAATCATTAACAGTTAGTGAACAGTAGTGAACACTTTGCCACGTGCCAGGAACCGTGCCAAGGGCCCTGCCTGGGTCAACTCTGTAGTCTTCAGAGCAGCCTCCTAAGGGTATTACTGTGGAAAACTGGGAAGGGTCTGAGATGTTTCCCTCCCTCAAAGATGATGAGTCAGTCTACTCAGTTTCCTGGATGCTGTCAGAAGACAAGAGGCTCCTGGGTCAGAGATGAAGGACTTTGTTAACTCAGAGCAATAAGAATAGCCAGAATGTCATCATGAACCTGCACTGTTGCCCCAAGTTCTTCTCAAGCCCCTGTTCGTAGAGGGTAACATGAGGAGGGTACAGAGTTGAGAAGTCACCTGCACATGTACATTATAGGAGAACCCTGAGCTGAGGGGGCCTGAACCTTTTATGATGGATAGAAAACCTGCCTGACCTTGGTTCTGAAGGGGAAAACTGTCTCTGTCTCCCAAGGCTGTTCTACAAATATCCTTGAAAAGCCAGTGCCTCTGCTTTATATATAGGATATATAGAAATGTGAGACCATAGAGATGTCTCCTAAAAGGTTACATCCTTATTTTATAGATGGGGAATTTGGGGCCCAAAAGGGTAAAGTAACTCACCCCAGGTCCCACACCTATTGCTATGTAGCAAATTAATCCCCAATTTGGTAGCCTGATATCTCAGCAAACACTGTGAATTGAATTGTCCACTCCAGAATTCAGGAGCAGAATAGCTGGGAGGCTCTGAAATGGGTCTGTCCTGAGGTTGTAGTCATGATGTCAGCCAGGGCTGCTGTCATCTGAAGGCCTGACGGGACTGGCATGGACTGTGTCTGAGATGACACAGTCAGCAGTGGTCAGCTCTGCTGTGCCTAGCTAGTACGTGGCTCTAGCCAGGAGACCTCCATTTCATTCTGCCTGTTGGCAGGGTGTCCCTGTTCTTTGCCATCTGGACCTCTCTTGTTTGGACAGTCTCATGACATGGCAACTGGTTTTCCCCAGAGTGAGGAGAGTGAGGGAAAGCCACCTGCCCTTGGGACTTATGCACAATCACTTTGGCCACATTTTATTCATTAGAAGCGAGTTATTACGTACAGCCTACCCTCAGGGGCAGAGCACGTAGGCGCCACCTTTTAAAGATTTATTTATTTATTTATTTATTTATTTATTTATTTATTTATTTATTTATTTATACAAGCACTGGATATAGTCAGAAGTGTGGGAGGGTGAGAGGATTCACCAGAGCCAAAGCAGGGAGCAGAACAGGCAGACTGACCAAGTACACTGCTGAGGGGACACAGCTGGGCGCCCCACAATGGGCGCGGCAGGAGAGGTCTGCGTGCCATGTGGGACCCTCACTGGCAGCTGGGGATCGAACCAGCGCTGCAGAGGCTGTGGGCAGCTTCACAGCCTAGTGCTCAACCACTGCGCCACCAGGGGAGGCCCAGGCACCACCTTCTAAAAGGAGGTATTTGGAGGGATCTGTAGACATGATTTTAAACCATCATGCCTAGTAAGTAAGGGGTCAGGATCCAAATCCACGGAGTTTGGCTTTGACAGCCTCCCAAGGCCTGGTTAGTGATGGTGGAGAACAATGATGAATCACTCTGGCTCTTTGCCAGAGCCTTAAAACGCAGTCATCTAATCTGTTTTATCAAGGCACCACTGTCTCAATCCAGCTCCCAGTTTGGGGCTGACCACCTTTTGTCATTGGCCTGGGAGCTCTGCTTTTTGTGGCACTGAAGCTAGTATCTGTGTGTGCAGTTCCTCGGGTCAGGACATTCACACCAGCAGTCACTGGGTGGTGCTAGGCTTCCATCTTTAATAAAACCAGTCTTGCCTGGAGGCAGACAGCTTCCCAAAACTCATCCTGTTGGGCTCTAGTCTGCAGTCCTGGGATTGGGGACTGGACCCTGAAATGCTAACAATGGTTGTCAGTAAAGATAACCCCTCTGCTTTCTAAAAAATGACCTCACTGCTATTCTCACTCTGTGGGAAACCAGAACCACAAAGCAACAATAGCAGATAACCCAAACCCAAACCCAAACCACAAACACCCTGCCCACTCAAGGCAACTTTTCTCCTTTACAATGGTATCTTTTAGCCTCCCTGGTGGCGCAAGAGGTTAAGCACTGCACTGTGAAGCGATCTGCAGCCTCTGCAGCACCAGTACGATCCCTGGCTGGCCAGGGAGAAACCACATGGGGAAGCAGACCTCTCCTGCCTCGCCTGCTGCTCCCTTCAGCAGTGTATTTCAGTCAGTCTGCCTGTTCTGTTTCCCACTCTGTCTCTGGTGAATCCTCTCACCCCACACATCTCTGGCCTGTACCCCAGCTCTTGTATGTATAAATAAATGAAAATCTTAAAAAAAAAATAAAATGGTATCTTTCATATAAATGCAGTCTTTGGGTAAAAGACCATTTGAAGGTTTCTCCCACCATTCTCTCCTTTCCACTGTTAAACACATGCCTCCCGGGACCCCCAAGGAGAGCTGGGTGTTGGAGGAGCCTTCATCACATCCTGGAAGCAGGTGTCAGTTTCCCTGTAGTCTTTTGCTCCTGGCCTCCAGGTAAGGTATAGCCAACTTGTGTGCCCTTTGTTACATCTTGTCTGAATCTTGGGATGTTCTCAGGACTTCTCACTGAAGTTTCTAATTGTCTCCTGGCCTTCCTGCAGCTAGGAAGGCCAGATCCCATGCTCCTGAGTGTGAATAAGCCCTCCAGTGGGTCTTGCAACATTGGTGGGGAGCATCTGTCTGATTTAAAAAACAGCAGCAATGTGGCCTGGGACACCCTCCCCAACTCCCTGGGGCCTCTGACCCAGCAGTCATCATTTAGTCTCTTGCTCAGAAGGGAGCCAGCAGCCCCATGAGATCCAAGCTGAACTCTCTGGCTCCCAAACCAAGCCATTTGGGGTGGTCTTTGGCTCTTCTCTCACTAGCTGCCAGATCTCTCTGACCTGACTACTGAGTTCCAGGCTCTTCACCCAAATGTAAGACCCATCTCAGGCCACCTATGTCCTCAGCAACCCCTGCTAGAATTGAATTTCTCTTCCTAGACCAAAGTTGAGTATAGAAGTCAGATGCTGACTTTTTCCTTTTAAAAATATTTTTATTTATTTATTTATTTGTGCATACAAGAACTGGGATGTAGGCCAGAGGTGCAGGGTGGAGGGGGGTAAGAGGATTCAGCAGAGACAGAGTGGGGAGCAGAACAGGCAGATCTACTGAAATACACTGCTGAGGGGCGCAGCGAGCAAGACAGGAGAGGTCTTCTGTGCCATGTGGGTCCTCTCCCTGGCCGGGGATTGAACTCATGCTGCAGTGGCTAGCGATAAGTTGATAGAGCTGTGTCTTTAACCCCTGCACCACCAGGGAGGCACCCTTTCTCCTTTTTGGGGGGGCTGTCCACGGTCTGCTACACCTGGAAGTGAGGTGTCAGATCCTGGCCTCTAGGTAGCTTGGCTTATCTATAGTGATACAAGCTTCCCGTTACATATATCTAATTTGGTGTTTGATAGTGATTCTGCAGATCAGTGAAAGCACTTAAGATTAAAGTGATGTCAAAACCACAAAGAGATATCACTTCACTTCTACTAGGATGGCTATAATCAAAAAGACAAGTGTTGGCAAGGATCCGGAGCACACATGCATGGCTGTTCAGAATGCATGGAAAACAGTTTGGCATTTCCTCAAAAACCATTCACTTCTGGGCCTCCCCGGTGGCGCAGCAGTTGAGCGCTGGGTTGCGAAGCTACCCGCAGCCTCTGCAGCGCCGGTTCGATCCCCGGCTGCTCCCCAGCCACCGGAGGAGGGTCCCGCATGGCGCGCAGACCTCTCCTGCCGCCCGCTGCTCCCCTCAGCAGTGTACTTCGCTCCTTCTGCCTGCTCTGCTCCCCGCTCTGGCTCTGGTGAATTCTCTCACCCTCCCGCGCTTCTGACTGTACCCAGTGCATGTATAAATAAATAAATAAATAAATAAATCTTTAAAAAAAAAAAAAAAAACCATTCACTTCTACACCTTGAATAGGTGAATTGTGTGGTATACTATATGGATATATATAACATTTCCTTTTTGTTAAGCCATCTCTCCTTACAATGATCTAGAGATTGATATACAATCTCAGAGTTTATGGAGTGAGAGAACAACCTACTTGGTAGTAAGTTGCTTATTAAATTTTAATTGTAATATTCATCTCTATCTTTGCTTCACCTTCCTAGATAATTGCTTTTCAGAATAAAGTGGCCATCCACTGGAGCTTTAGACAAATGGTGAGCACAGAGGGGTCACATCTCTTTGGTCTCCGCTCTTAGGAGTGAAGCTTGGAACTGCCCTTGAGTGTGGCACAGCCCTGGCCCACCACACCCGCCACCCCATCCACATCCTGAAAGGGGGATACCAGCTGTTCTCAGCCATGTACCACTTCTTCCGGACGCAGAAGATCATCTGGATGCCACAGGTAAGGCATAATTGGGGTGTATGGGCTTCCCTTTGGGACCAAAATGTGGGGAGAGGGGTAGGAGACTGAGGAGACAGACAATATGAAAAAGATGGGAGAGATGTCAGAGACTGAGCTTGGGAAATAAACTTGGGGCAGCCAAAATGTCCAGTCAATGAACCTTTATATGAATTTATAATTGTCAGAAACGGGCAAAGGCCACTGTGGTTTTGAGAGGCAAGGTCTGTTTGGAAGACAAGAATCCCAGGGGGGATTCTGGATGATGGGCGAAGTCAGACAGGCATCATGATTTGAGGCTACCTTGCCATTCTTAGCCATCTGGTGCCACCAGCCCTGGCAGGGTGCAGAGGATACAACAGAGGGTGAGATGGCAGCCTCTGCCTATGAAGTGTCCTTCTTCTAGCAGGGGAGACCAGGGACTTACCAGGTACCTGGAATCCAGAGGAGAGGCACTTGCTTCCTGGAGCCAAGCCGGGAGGAGGTGCTTGTGAGGAAGAGAGCTGGGTAGCGGGCACTTAAGCTGCTAGGCACATGGGTAGTGATGCCTGGCAGGCAGAGCATTGTGCTGTGTCTGGTTTATTGAAGACTATAAATAGGATTACATGTAACACAAGATAACCACACTTTGATTTTTGACTCTAGGGGTGTACAGCCTGTCTCTCCTTCCTGCCAGGCACTCCTCCCTCCTGGAGGGGTACTTGTCACTGGCTTTGCAGTGTATGGAGGGTATCTTTCTTCTTTGCAAACATCATGCTGCCAATAACTCACCCCTGCCCACCTTTAAAAATAAGTTTAGTAAAGTGTAATTGACATAGGATGAATTGCATATATTTAAAGTGTGCAGTTTGGTCAATTCTGACATGTCTACATATATATACACCTATGACTTGCCCTGCTATTTGGGAGAGGAATAGGGTTGTGGCTGATGGTAACTTCCAGGGTGTGAGTGAGGTGAATTCTATTTTAGATGTTTATGGCCTTCTTTAGGATGTCGGTACCTAGTATTGGCCTCTCCCTGCCTTGGAACCTTAATTCAAGGATAAGATTGAAAGCCTTTCCTCTTTTGTTATGTGTTCTACCACTCAGTAAGATATGAGCGTTACTACTGTTCCCCGAGGAATAGTAAGGGTGATAGAGGCCCTGAGACTACCCCTCCTCACTTTAGACCAAGTGACTTCTTAAATAAATCAGGTTTTACTTTGAGCAAAGGGGTTCTGTGACTAAGATATGTAAAGACCACACTAGCGAGGGAGGATGGTGAGCCAGCACAGGGTTTTAAGTCAGAGGTGGCAATGTCAGATTACACTTGGAAAAATTAATTCTGAATGCAGTGTGGAGAGCAGATCAGAGAGCAGCATGAATTTGGGGAGACCTGCTAGAAGGCAGGGAGGGAGAGGAGAGATTCAAGAAATATTTAGGAAGTGTCACTGATTAGACATGGAGGGCCACAGGGCAGGGAAGAATATAGGGTAATGCCAGGTTTAGGTGGGACAGGTGACCCGTGGTGTGGCTTACTGAGGTGGGGGACATGGGAGGAGGAAGCAAAGTAGAGGGAGGCTATGAGCTCTGTTTGGACACATTAACCTGAGATGCCTATTTTTCTTACCTTTGTTGAGATGGTCGTCCACACTGTCATCTAGAACATACTAGCTCTTTATAATACAGCACATTGTTATCCACGCCACACCCACTTCCCCTGCAGCCCATACAAACACAGGAAAGGAAATCGGTTTGAAAGCAACAGGAAGAGGGTTGATAAATTTGTGATAGGTGTTTGGCAAGATTTTTCAATGAAAGTAATGGTGTTTCATTTTGCTCCAGCAAGCTGAGTGTCCTGAGTGGGGTCAGCTGAGCTTTGGGGTACCCTTTGGGTCACATCTGCAAGCAGCGGGCCTGCCTGAATGTAGAAGGGTCATACGTCTCTTTCTTAAGATTGAGGATTGGCCCAGCTGGCCATCTTCTCTCTGATTACAGTTTTTGAGGCTGACAGCTTGGCAAGGATTTGGGTTTTCATTTTTTTTTAAGATTTATTTATCTATGCATACAAGAGCTGGTGTACAGGCTAGAGGTGCGGGGGTGGCGAGAGGATTCACCATAGAGTGGGGAACACACCAGGTGGATCTACTGAAATACACTGCTGAGGGGAGCAGCGGGCGAGACAGGAGAGGTCTGCTGTGCCATGTGGGTAAATCCCTGGCCAGGGATCGAGCTTGTGCTGTGGACAGCTTCACAGTGCTGTGTCTTAACCCCTTGTGCCACCAGAGAGGCCGAAGGATGTGGGCTTTCAGGGGGTTCACTAGGTGGGGAGACTGCTGAGGCCAGAGGACTCTGAGAAGGGCTGAAGCAGACGGCAAGTAGCCTGAGGTACCTACAGTGTCATTTCTGAGTCAGACTCAGAGCCAGAGGAATCTTAGAACTGGGTTTTATCTTTGTAATTATTGGAGTGGGGGGGGGGAAAGGGGTTTCTAAACAGATCATATTGGAAGCATCAGGTGATACAGCAGTAGTGGATTGTGTGTGTGTGTGTGTGTGTGTGTGTGTGTAGAATATTTAAGATCTACTCTTAAAAAAAACTACTCTTTTAACAACTCTCAAGTATATAATACTGCATATACTACAGTGTTGTTAGCTATAGTTACCATGTTGTGTATTAGATCTCCAGAATTTAGTCATCTTAGTTTTTACCCTTTGACCAGCATCTCCCCATGTTGCCCACCCCAGCCCCTGGCAGCCCTCAGTCTCTTCTGTTTCTGTCAGTTTGGCTTCTTTAGATTGCATGCATAAAGGAGATGATCGTGCAGTGTCTTCTCTGGTTTATTTCACTTAGCATAATGCCCTCCAGTCTATCCATGTTGTTGCAAATGGTAGCATTTCCTTTCTATAGCTGAGTAATACTCCATTTTATATTCATATCACATTTTCTTTATCCATTCTTCCTTGAGTGGACACTTAGGTTGTTTTCATGTCTTGGTTATGAGTATTGCTGCAATGAACATGGGGGTGTAGATATTTCTTCCAGATAGTGATTTCATTTCTTTTAGTTATATACCCAGAAGTGTCATTGTGAGATCATATGGTAGTTCTAGTTTTAATATTTTGAGGAACCTCCATTCTGCTTTCCATAGTAGAAAGTGACTAGGGGGTTTCTTTACTCCTGAATTTCTTTGAGCCCTTAATTGCTAATGTACAGTGTGAGTTTCTGAGAGCAGGGTAGCATAAGTACTGCTCCCATATGTGCTTAGTTCTCTGAACTTTTTTTTCAAAGTGCATCGTGAGGGACTTGTTTCTTGGAATACATGTTGGGAAGTGTAGAAATAATCTTTTTCTTTGCTTCATTGTTTTTCAAAGAAACTAAAATTTTTCTTACTCTAACTTTAGACCTGGAATTCAGTGGGCTTCTATGTAAGTGTTCTCCCTACCACTTTAAATCAGAACTCATCAGAATTTCATCAGTATTCATTTCCTAAAGGCAAATAGGCTCTATGTGAGTAGTTTCATTGTTTTTTTTTTTTTTTTTTTTTAATGGTAGCCTCTAAGTGTGATAAAAGGGCTCTATCTTTCTGGTCTCCCTCTCCCCCAACTGGACAACTGGTTTCCACTGTTCTGGGCTACAGAGGGTTTGACTTGAATCTTTGTGCACTCGGTCTAATGCAGACAGGTGCGGTGGAGAGAGATGGGGTGTCTGCCTCCATATCAGCAAACTGTGCTGTGACACTGTGGTTCAGTCCCTCCGTTGTGACCAGTCCTCTAACTCCCCATGCAGGTTATTGCCAGTTTCTCTTAATGCATACATTTCAGTCTTATTCGCTGCCCTGGATTGTCTTTCTGTTTGATGAGTAACATTTCAAGAGACAAGACAAAAAAAAAAAGTCAAAAGACAAAACCAAATCTAAGCAATACAAAAACAAAATCAGCTTCTTCCCTGGGGGGATATTATCACAGTATATATATATATATGTGTATATATATATATATATATATATATGTATGTATGTATATATGTATGTATGTATGTATATTATTAACCTTTTTCACATATATGTATATTATTAACCTTTTTCTGTCCCCACCTCAGGAACTGGATGCATTTCAGCCATATCCTGTTGAAATAATTCCGGGTAAGATCTACCTGGGTGATTTCAGGCAAGCGTGTGACCCTAAAATTCAGAAGGATTTGAAAATCAAAGCACATGTCAATGTTTGCATGGAGACAACACCATTGTAAGTAGAGCTATTATTGATTTTTTTCAGATTAAGCATCATCTATTTATACAAGATACTTAGTGCAGTGCATGTAGAGAGTTGAAAGAGCTCTTAGAAGTCAACACACATCTATTCCTGAGTTGAAGTTTTTTTCCTGGCTTGGCCATGGCATCCTCTGCCCCTAACTGACATCCTGTACTTACCCTCTAAATATTATCAAAAGTGGTTGAGGGTGAGTGGGACATGTGGACATATGGAAGAGCAAAACTGTAACCCCCCCCAAAAAAAAAAAACTCACCAAAAGTAATGCTTTCCTGGTATTTAACACTATGGTACAAAGTATCCTATTCTTTTTTCCTGATTTGCCTGCTTTGCCTCATCTCAGGCCCTCTGAGAAATAACTCTTGTCTTAGTCCATTCAGACTGAGAATAGGACCCAATAGACTGGTGACTTAAAAACAACAGAAATGTATTTCTCAAGCTGTGGAAGGAGGAAGTCCAAGATCAAGGTGCCAGTGAATTCAGTGTCTCACAAGGGCCTGCTTTCTGGATCAGGGCAACATCTTTTTACCGTGTCTCACAGAGTAGAAGGAGGAATAATGCTCTCTAGGGTCCATGGGGCATGAACCTGAAGGAGGGCTCCAGACAGTAGTTGGTGATGAACGGAGGCCCTCAGTCAAAAGCCTCTAAGGAACTGAATCCTGATAACAATCATGTGAGTTAGGAGCAGCTCTTCTCCAATGAAGCCTAAAATGAAACCAGATGAGAGACTCAGCCAATAAGTTGACTATCACCTTGTGAGGAATTTCGAGCCAATGGTATCTAGTCAAACTGTACCCAGGTTCCAGATCCAAGATCCAAGCTGGATGTTCTACAAACACCAGATACATGTTTGTAGTTTTTTTGTTTTTTTTTTTTAATAGAGGCATGTTTTATTTATTTATTTATTTATTTTGTTTGTTTGTTTTGTTTATACATGCACTGGGTACAGTCAGAAGCGCGGGAGGGTGAGAGAATTCACCAGAGCCATAGCGGGGAGCAGAGCAGGCAGAAGGACCGAAGTACACTGCTGAGGGGAGCAGGGGGAGGCAGGAGAGGTCTGCGCGCCATGTGGGATCCTCCTCCTGTGGCCGGGGAGCAGCCGGGGATTGAACCGGCTCTTCAGAGGCCGCGGGCAGCTTCGTAACCCAGCGCTCAACCGCTGCGCCACCGGGGAGGCCCTACATGTTTGTAGTTTTAAGTCACTAAGTATTAGTGTATTTTGTTACACAACAAAAAGGAGTGTAGTCTTAAAGCAACTGAGAATACCCAATTTTATACTCAGAGAATATATCCTTTAAAAATGTAAAGGAGAAGAATTTCCCTTTCTGACCATGATGGAGTAAGTGGGATAAGATTTATAATTCCACTGAAAAAACCCAGACAAAATATCTGTGAATGAGAGATTTCACACAATGACCAACAGACAACACAAGGTAGTGATTCCTGAGAGATGGAAAAACCAAGGCGAACCCAACAATGGATCCAGCTTATTGCTAAGAGATAGTTTGTAGGTCACTATACAGGTGTGGGGTCATGCTTTGTGAGTTCAGGGTAGCGAGCTGAGAATTCAGAGAGGTCAAATTGATTTGAATTTACAGGAGAGACCTGCTTAGAGAATGGAAAACTCAATACAAAGAATTAGAGCTCTGGGCAGCTGCTTAGAAGCATGTGCCTATGAGGAAACTTGTCAGGCTGGTCATTGATTAGAAGAACCACTTTTGTAAATGTGTCAGTTCTACCCAGCTGGTCTACAGGTTCAATGCAGTGCAATAAAATCCCAGTAGGTCTTGTGGAAATTGATATAGAACTAAGACATATGGAAATGCAAACAGCAAAAATAGCTGAATATTGAAGAACAACACATGGAAAGTCTTCCTTGACCAGATGCTAAGACTTAAAAAACTACCTGCTTATGTTACTGGTGCAAGAGAAGAAAGGAAACCTGTAGATGAGACTGGAGTCCAAATATAGACCAGTGCATACGTGCTCTATGAGATTGGTGCTTGTTTTCTGAGAGGGTTTCAGTTTCTTGCCTGTATCTCCTGGTATGTGCCCAGCATCCTCTCTATTTCTGCTGCTGTGAGAGGGACTCTACAGTGGATAGAATGTCAGTCTGTCCAATTATCGGTGGTTTTCTTCTGTTTAGTTTTGAAGGTGATGCTGACAAGCTTCTGCACATCCAGATAGAAGATTCCCAGGAAGCGAATATTTCACCTTTTTTTCGTCATCTCTGTCACTTCATTGGTAAGGAGCTTTCTCTAATCAAGCAGCCTGTGCTCAGGGCCAGAGGGTACCCTGAACTCATCCACGTTCCTATTTCTGATCGTGACCCTCAGTGCTCAGGAGAGTAAGGACAGGGCCCAACATGAGCCTTGCCAGGTGTGGACAAGTCCCAGAACCGCCTCTCAGGGACCCTTGGTGATGTGTGTGGCCATGTTCACCTTGGGAGCCCTGGGGCCAACTAAGTGCACCAGATTGTGGATTGAACACTCTGTTCTGGTCCTGGTTGGACCAATGTGGCCTTTTGGGCCTGGTTGAGCTGTACCCTGGCCTCACTACATCTATTGGGCGGTCTTGAAGTGAGGCTGGGTATGTGGTTCATGGGGGCCTGCTCATGGGCTGGGCTCTGGGACCCAGACGTGAATCTCACTCCATCCATGCCTGCCCTCCTATCTGATCTGGAGGCTGGGATGGAAGGAAGTCTCTAGAGCCCTTAGCTGTGACGTCTGAGACTCCCAGTTGATGTGCCCAGCATCTCTGTATTCTGCCAGCCACAGCAGTGCCTGCCTGTTGCCTGACTCACTGAGAGTGGGTTTTCAGACAGTCCCAGGGCTCAGGATTACACAAGAGGAGCAAGATCCTGCCAAGAGTGAGGTTGTGTCAGGTCAGCATAGAGATACTTTCTTGGCACCAACACAGCCCCCTGCCTGAAGTGCTGCATGTAAGGTAGAGGGTGACATTTTGATCTAGCCATGCCTCATTTGCCCAGAAGGTTGCAATTATCTTTTGACTAGGAGCTGAGACAGAGACTAGCCATGTGTGCTACCATAGAATGGCACAGCCCTATGGCACAAAGATGCCCCCTCTTGCTGCCCCACCTTACTGGGGCACTCTGGACCAGGCTTTAATTGCTCAGTGCCTCAGTTTCCTTATTTATACAGTGAGGCACTTGACTTTAGTCATCTCTGAGTTCTCCGCCAGTGCTGACAGTCCACAGTGGTATGTTTACTACTTGGTATGTTTATCTTCAGTTCTTGGGGGTTACCAGGCCAGACCTAGGATGCCATTTCAGATACCTCCCCTACTCCTTAATGAGTGAGACTCATAGTCTCAGGGGCATTAAATTCACCTGCCATCTCTGTGCCAGGCACTGGACTAAGTACAGTACAGAACCTTATGAGACAAGTAATATTCTATTATTCCATTCCCATATGAGGAAACTGTGACTAAGAGTGACATGCTCAAGACCTACAGCCAGTGAGTGGCAGAGCCAGGATTCATACCTCGATTACACTATCTCTGTCAGCACCCAAATGCTTTTGGGAAATGATCCTTTCATCCTAACCAAGGGAGACCAACTGGAAGGGGATCTTCCTGGGCTGGAAAACCTGGAAAGCAATGAAAAGGCCTTGGCAGGATAATGCTGAACACCCAGGTGTCATTCTCTAGAACTGCTGCCAGTTCTGAGGGCCCTCAATTGCCAGGCAATGAAAGAGATGTACATGATTAGCTGAGGACATCGTGTACTGGTTCTGAACTCACTCTTAGACCCACTGAGGCCAGTCATTTTACAGCAATCCAGGGAAGAAGGCTATGCATAACCCCCACCCTTCCTTCCTTTTGCAGACATTCATCTGGAGCTTGGCTCTGTTATCCTGGTCTTTTCCACTTTGGGTATCAGTCGCAGTTGCACAGCTATTATAGCTTACCTCATGCACGCGAGAGAGGAGACCTTGGAGGTATGCTTCCCCTGGCCTGAAGCCCTGGCTTCAGGCTCATACCACAGCCATCTGCAGTGGTGGGAGGAGTGGGACCCCAGCACTGCCTTGAGCCCTAACTGGGAGGTGGGAGGGGAAAGGCTCAGGGAGGGAACTCCAAGTCCAGAGCTTTACTCAAGCACCCTACATCCAAGGACTGGGTCTCAGTGGTCCAGCTAGAGGCTGAGGCTGGGCACATGGGGGAGGCCCAGAGGACTCAGGCTAGGCAAGCACTATCTGAGTGTCCCCCGCTGCTGTCACTCTGTCCATCAGCATTTGTTGGTGGTTCTGGCTTCTGCTTAGAGTCACAGGATTGCAGTGCTGGCGTGGCTTCATTGTGTATCCAGGCCAACCATCTTCCTTTACCCCTGAGGAGAGCAGGGTCCACAGAGGGGAAGGAAGCAGAGACCCATCATTACAAACCCTTTGGGAACTCAAGTTCATGACTCTCAGGACAGTGCTTTCTGCTGTCCCCTGCCCAAGGGGATGGGGGAGCTTTGCAGGCGCTGAATGGTTTTGGCGCCCTACTGAAGTCATTTGACCATTTATGCAAAGGTTTATTTCTGAGCTGTTTATTCTGGTCCGATGGTTTAAATTTCTGTCTTTATGCTGGTATTACATTGTTTTGATTATTTTAATTTTGTGGTACCATCAAAGGTTTGAAACCAGGAAGTGTGAGACCCCCAACTTCGTTTTTCTTTATTCAAGATTGTTTTGACTGTCCTGGGTTCCTTGATATTCCATGTGAATTTTAGGATGGATTTTTCTATTTCTGCCAAAAACAGTGCTGGGATTTTTTTTTTAAGATTTATTTATTTATGCATGCAAGAGCTGGGGTACAGGCCAGAGATGTGGGGCGGGGGGATGAGAGGATCCATCAGAGACAGAGTGGGGAACCGAATAGGCAGACTGACTGAAACACACTGCTGAGGGGAGCAGTGGGCGAACCAGGAGAGGTGTGCTGTGCCATGTGGGTTGCTCCCTGGCCAGCTGGGGATTGAACTCGGGCTGCAGTGGCCTCGGATCACTTCATAGTGTGGTGCGTAACCCCATGCACCACCAGGGAGGCCCGGTGCTGGGATTTTGATAGAGAGTGCATTAACTCTATAGACTGCTTTGGTTTGTATTGACATCTTAACAATATTAGTCTTCTAATCTGTGTCCATGATGTCTTTCCATTTATTTGTAGTTTTCAGAATACAAGTTTTTGATAAGTTTGTTCCTATATATTTTTTCTTCTTTTTGATGCTATTATAAATAGAATTGTTTTCTTTTCAAATTGTTCATTTGTAGTGATATGCAACTGTTGATTTTTTTATCCTGCACCTTTGCTAAATTAATTTATTAGCTCTAATAGGTTTTTTTGGTATAATCTTCAAGGTTTTTTACATATAAGATCATGTGATCTGCAAACAGGTAAGTTTATGTCTTCCTTTCCAGTTTGGATGCTTTTTCTTTCTTCTTGTGCCTTATTGCTTGGCTAGGACTTCCACTATGTTGAATAGAAGTGGTGAAATCTGGGCATCCTTTTATTGTTCTTGATTTAGTTTCAGTTTTCACCACTGAGTATAACATTATCTATGAACTTTTCATACGTGACCTTTGTTTTGTTGAGGTAGTTTCCATCTATTCCTAGTTTGTTGAGGCACCGCTTTGGCTATTTCCTTTTTCCTCTGTCTTTAATCCAGATGGAGGCCAGCTTGTTACCTTCCTTCATGTAATTATCCTCCTGTATCTTAGGGTAGATGCCTGAAAGAATGTAACTTCAATTTTCTCTTTTCAGAGAATATACCCATAGTTCTCTGCCCCTTTCCATTCATTTATGCACTCACAATGCCAACCTTTGTTGAGGCTGCATTGTGCCCCAGCCATGAGCATGGTGCCTTCCTGCTTATGGGAGGTTTCACAGATGTCTATCATTGGAGCCAGCTGAAATAAGAATGATTTCTGTCCCCATATCTAGAAATAGGCGCAAGCCTGTTCCTTTGACTCTTTGCCCCAGTGTGTCCAGCCGTTCAGTCTACTGCTGGCCCCTGAGCAGGTGCCTCCTGTTCCTTTTGAGCTGGCTCTGATCTAGACAGAAAGAGCCCAGAAAGAGTCCAATCCTGAAGTTCTCTTTTTCTCCTTGCATTCATAGAGGTCCTGGGTCCATGTCAAGAAGTGCAAAAACAACATGCGTCCAAATCGGAACTTTGTGGCTCAGCTGTTACAGTGGGAGCAGGTTGTCCTCGGAGACTTCACCACAGACATCTCTGATCCACTCTACTGATCTCCTCTGTGGCCAGCCACGGGTCCTGAAGAGCCTTGCTAGGGACTTCTTATGGGTGGTGGGCCAGGATGTGTAATCACGTTGGTCTAGAAGCAGGGCCTTTGCTGCCCAGAGCCTCATGTCAGCCTCCTGATGTGGTTCTTTCTAGGCTTCTTGTTCACACCACACAGCAGGTGTACTCTGCTCAGACTGTGAAAACCCACATTTTGGGGGCACCCTGGACACCCCTATTACACCTCCTGAGGCTGTCCCTGGAGGAGCATCTGGCAGCCCCACATGTCCTGCGTGACTTGGATCCTTTAGGGGCTGCTGGTGCGTGTGTGTGTGTGTGTGTGTATGTGTGTGTGTGTGTTGCTGCTGCAGGAGTTCCTCCTACCTTGTGTTGGTCCACAGGGGGTATCATGATGCCCACCCGGAAAGAGAGATCATCAGCCCTAAATGTGCCAGGCCCAGTCTTGGCTCAGTTCCTAACTGCTACACTCTGCAGCTCTGGACACGGGCACACCTTTGTCTCTACTGCAGTCCAAGCCTTCCCTTCTACTCCTCCCCTGGTCGTTTGTACAGATTTCTTTTCCTTGGTCCCCACACCTTTTTGCCTGAGTTTACCAAGAGACTCCTATTCCTCCCACCCGCCACACTAGGTTTCTAAAGATTCCTCAAATCTTAAAGAGAGTTTTTTTTCCGAGCACTGTTCACATCGCTGTCAGCACCCACTGAACAAGTGTGGAGTCAGGAGAGGGCACAGGGGCTAATGGGGAATTTCAGATGTCTGTCTGTGCCCATTCAGCAAACACTCCCAGCCACCTCGCAGGGACTGGGAACAGAGATGACTCTCTTCCTGCCTTCTAGGACTCTTTATTTTTATTTTTTTTTAATTTTTTTATTTTTATTTTAAATAATAAATTTTATTTTTATATTCCCCCATACAATTGCAAACCCCCCATTCTGACCCCAATCCCTCCCCTCCCACCCCCCACCCCCCAAAAAGTGTCTCTGGTTCATAGTTTTTTGTTGATTTTGATTTTCACTTTCTTATAGTTATTCATTTTCCTGGTCCCTTATTTAAGTTTTCTAGATTCCTGCTATGAGTGAGACTTCTAGGACTCTTTAAAAGAGGAGTGGAGAAGCCTTCCCAATGGAAGAGGGAGCCCTCAAGGAATAGTGGGGGTTCGCAAGAGGAGTGAGAACTTTCCAGGAAGTGCTGGCACGACTCGGTCTGAGCTGGAACAGAGCCTGGGATGGCTACAGAGCAAAGGCTGTATAGGTCAGTGGCCCATGCAGGTAGCCGAGTGGAGCCGCTGGGAAGCTCTTGGCAGGGACACTGGTGGGGACTAGCCTGTGTTTCGGGCGGCCGAGTGAAGGGACTGTAGCGGAGCGCCCGGGAGCAGGGAGACGGCGAGGAGGCTGCGGTGAAACCCAGTGGAGAAGGCGGCTCAGGAGCCCCTCCTTGCAGGTTGCCGAGGAGGGCAGTGGTTGAGGCAGGTGTGACCTCCCTAGGCCTCGATTCACTCCCAGCTGGACAGCCCGGGACTCTGCTGGCCGCACCACGCGGCCGCCAGGCCCCTGGAGCCCGGCGAGGGGCGCCGTCCCCGCAGCCCTGCCCGGCCCGGCCGGGAGTCGCCCGACCAGCGGCCCCGACACGCGGCCCCGCCCCGGCCCCGCCCCGGGGCCAGATTGGCTGAGGGAGGGGGCGGGGCCCGCGCGCTCGCCTCCCCGGGCCGCCTCCCATTGGCGGGCGGCGTCTCGAGCCCGGAAGCGGACGGGGGCGGCGGCGGAGGCGGCGGAGGCGCGGGGGACTGGCCCGGCTTGCGGCTCAGCCCTTCACCCCGGGCTGGTCGGGAGCGCGGCCCGGCAGCCATGCAGCCCCCGCCCCCCGGCCCGCTGGGTGACTGCCTGCGGGACTGGGAGGAGCTGCAGCTGGACTTCCAGAGCATCCAGGTGAGCGCGGAGCGGGCGCCCCTCCGTCCCGGAGCCACGTCTCTCCGGCTTGGGGTCAAGGGTCAAGTGCCCCTGGGGCTGGGGCGGGAGCTCGGGTCGGAGCTCGGGACCCCTGGAGCTGCTTCCGAGAGTGGCGGGGCCCTCGGCCCGGTGTCGCCAGCTCTGCACTCCTCTCGGCCCCTAATGAATGTCCGGCGCTGGCCCCTTGCCCCGCGCAGCCGCTGCAACCCCCGAGGAACCCCACCAAACTGGGTGGACTTGGCCCTCCAGCCAGGGCCTTAGGAGGAGGCGCCCAACCCATCCCATTCCGGGAGGGCGGCCGCCTGAGTCAGCCGGCCAGGCCCACTCTTGAGTCAGTCTCTCAGCAAACACGCCGTGAGCGCTGGCCCGGTGGGGTCAGAACCCTGCAGCGCTGTCCCCGCCTCTGGGCAACGTTGTCTTGGCCTGAGTCTGCCACGGAGCCATGGTCTTTGGGTGGTTTGCCTTCCCCATGGGGGCGGGGTCAGCCCAGGTGAAGGACAGCGCCCAAGAAGACCGGTGCCTGCGGCTGCTGCCGAGACTGAGGGGAGGAGTGGGCAGGTCATACTCTGCAGGGACCGACCGCATGCACCTGGCCGGGTTTGCGTCTCCCTGAGCCAAGGGAGGATCTCGCTTGTGTGGGCCAGTGTTCTGTTCTTTGGGGAAGCTAGGGAGGAGGCTGCCAGCCACCTTCAGCCAGGAGAGGGCAGTGACTGGGAGTGGACAGAGGTGGTACATGCTGGGTTCTGAGGGGTGGCTATGTCAGGGCCCTTCCTGGATATGGGAAACATGCAGTCAGGGAGAACCCAGCTCAGCTGGGCACTTGATCTGACCTTTACCTCTCCTGAGCTGGTTCTCCTGTCTGCTTTGAAGCCAAGCCTGCTGTCCTTAGTGCTTCTCCTCGGAGTCCTGATCAGACCTAGTCTCCCAGCCTGGCCTCAACTCTTGCCAGGCCTTCCTCAGACCTCCCCTTGCCCAGGTTCCAGGCTCCTGCTGCTTGGGATTCACCCACCAGGGCAAAGTGCTCTGGGAAGCTTGGGCCAAAGGTGCTGGGGGAGGGCTAGAGGGACTGGCCTTCTAGCAGGAGGTCCAAGGGCTGAAATGAATCCTGATCACCTGGGAGTGCCAGAGCAGAAGGCATCTTGGACAAGCCCAGCCCCCTGCATCTGCAGGCTGGCAAGGCAGGAGGATCTGAGAGGGTAGGAGATGGTTTTAGGTAGTCTGCTTGGTTTAGAAGGTGAATCTGTGGGTGGGATAGGACAACTAGGGATGGACTGAGACAGAAAATTGTCAGGAAACTAGCTTGTTTCTGGGAGAGGGGTGCTGTGTGAGCTTCTGGGCTTGCAGAGGGAACCTCATCTTGCCTCCTTAGGGGAGAACAACCTTAGGGTGGGCTCTGAACAGGAGCAAGTCCCGTCTCCTGCTCTGACCCTACCAAGGAGTCCCTAAGAGCATGTACCCCACCTCCTGCCCAGCAGGCTCTGAATCGGTGACACTCCCAACCAGTCTGTGTCTTTTTCCCACCTGTTCCCCAGGAGACCCACCGCTTGTACCGCCTGAAGCTGGAGGAGCTGACCAAGCTGCAAAACAATTGTACTAGCTCCATCACTCGGCAAAAGAAGCGGCTCCAGGAGCTGGCCCTTGTCCTGAAGAAGTTAGGATCCCTGTGTCCACTCCCACCCCCACCCCATATTCCTCCCCACCTTTGGCAGGGGTGGGGGTCTGACCTGGTGGGGTAGAGTGCTGGCGCTGATTCCGTGAATGTCCCTGAGCATGGCTTCTCCCATCTCTGGGCACCATTTGCCCTCATGGCCCACAGGTGACAAGTGTGATTTCTGGGGCCTCCTGCTCTGACTGTGACTTCTGTGGCCCCATCTGCAGATGCAAACCTTCCCTCCCGGTGGAGTCAGAGGAGGCCTCGCAGGAGCTGGAGAACCAGATCAAGGAACGCCAAGGCCTCTTCTTTGACATGGAGGCCTATTTGCCCAAGAAGAATGGGTGAGATGCCTTCTCCAGCTCTGTTCACCCTACCTTTGGGAGCGAGTCCGAAGGTGTAGCTTTCCTTTGCTTGGTCATTTGGTCAGTAAATGCCCCCTGAACTCACTCTGGGCTGGATGGTCAAGACACCTCAGGGTGACTAGCTCAGTGATAGTGACAACTTGCCATGATGGGTGCTTTAAAGGGAAAGACAGCGCATGAGCTGAGGTTAGATCCAGCCTCCTGGAGTAGGTTGGTGTTCATGAGTGACACAGCGAACACAACAAGGTGACAGCAGGTCTGGTGGCTGAGCCTGGGGTGGGACTAGGTGGGCGTAGTGAGACCAGAGGGGAGCCAGGTTGCAGCACTGGGTCATCATGTGCTTAGACCTGCTATAATCACTGACGAGGAAGGGCAGCCAGCAGTGTTGCATGGGAAAAAAAAAAAACAAAAACCAGACTACAGGTAGCAAGACAAGCAGGAGAGAGCCAGTTCCAGAAGCCAAGAAAGGAGTGGCCAGTAGCCTCTGATCAGATGGCCCTGGGGTTAAATGTGATCAGGACGAGAAAATGTTTCCTGAAAGTCAGGGTGACCTTGGAGAGAACAGCTCCGTGGGAAGGGGGAGGTGGAAGTCGATATTGGGAATGACAGATCTGAGGAGACAGTCATGTTTAGGTAACTTTCCTGGAGTTTCGCTGTGAGTAGGAGGAGAAACCAGTAAGTAGAAACAGTACCTAAAACTTAGCATGAGGGTGATTTTTGCTTGGGTGTGTGTCTTCCTTTGTATGGGAAAGCATGAGTGTGTCTGCCTGCGGAGAGGTCTGGGAGAATTCAGCCAGAGTTTCTCAGGAAGGCTCTCAAGGCTCAAGTTTCTCAGAGCGAGCAGAAGCTATGGGGCAGGAGGTAGAAGGTGGTCATGCACACACCTTGGGTCCACACCTGGGTCCCAGGGGTAGTCGGAGATGCAGGCACAGCTTCCATGGGGTGAGGGAGCCAGGCTTTCCTTGGGCACTGAGGTGGGGTGCTTGGGTCGGGGCAGGGAATTTGGGAGGTGGGGGATGTTGGTTTAACCTGGAGCATGACTGGTGAACATGCCAGGAGAAAGGCGGGCATTGGCATCCCTGTGGAGTTGGTCTGTAGCATCTCCAAGGTCAGAACCCTAAGCCAAGGCCATGGGAAGGCCAGACTCTGGCCTGGCCCCTTTGGGGTACTGTCCCCTTTGGCTTCTCTCTGTCAGGGCCCCTCCTCACCAAGTCTCCTCTCCCCCTAGGTTGTACCTGAGCCTAGTTCTGGGCAACGTCAACGTGACACTCCTGAGCAAGCAGGCTAAGTAATTTGTGATGGACTGGGTCTCAGCCCCTCTCCACCTCCTGGGATCCTTTCCTCTGCCCTGACTCCCTGGCTAAGCCTTGAGGTTC